TGTCATGAGTTTCTAAAAGGATCTTGACTTTTCCTGGCAACTCTAGTCTTTTCCAGGCGCCCTCTATTTAGATATAAGCCCGGCAAATAATTATCAAACGACCAGAGACGTAACACAACCATTCACGTCATAAGCGAATTTAGAAAGCCATCAAATAAATAAGAGCAACAAATACTAAATCAGTTTGCACATCTATTACAGTGTCAATATTCAATGAAAGTTAAATTTACAGCTAGACAGTATTTGAGGATTGTTCATTTGCTTTATTATATATTTTGTTATCATGTCTTTATCTATAGAATGAGTATTAATTTGTCTATGAACGAGGAGGAGAAACTGTATACGGCTTCATATAAGAATAACTTATTTCAGTATAACTAGATAATTTACATTAATTCTTTATTTGATCTAAGCGCTTCAGTTCAGTTGTAAGTCTGAGGGCTTATAACGCTCAAAATCGGATTTCGATACTCTCGGTGATCACAACACATATAGTCCATTGCGAAGCCTTTTGATTTAACACCAAACAAATAAATGAAAAAGACGGGATGATTTTGAGTTTTGATCTACGTGTGTAGTTTGCTTTGATTAGAATTTGATATAAAGTTGGATATTATTAAATTTACTGCAATGGGCAGTGTGTAATTTTTCCCATTTTATAAAATGTTTCCAAACAGTGAAATCGAGTGGAAAGCAAAAGGAAAATATTTTATAAAATTATTCTTGCCAACACATCATTGCTAAAAGTATTGCGTTTGTGCATGTCTTTATCCCTTTTGATTGTTATAAATTGTGTAATTCGTAATTTGTAACTCCCTTTGTGACGCCATATTTAGAACTATTATTAATTTCTAAAGAACCCATCTTGAACGAAAGTTCTTACAGCAGATAAAGAACTAAAGCATTTATCTAGTTATTTTGAAATAATTTATTCTTAAATATTTCACGTGTTCTATACTTATAAACTTTTGATTCTATATATACTCTTGGTATGAGATCACAAGAACGTGGGTCAGGTGATTATGAGGTATTAGAATGACATTTAGCAAACTCAATTGTTTTACAGTTGTTCAGTGGTACTGTTAGTGTTAAGACGCATGAAGTGGAATATACGAAACAATTACTACTTCACGTTTGTTTTAAAATTCAATTTCCGAAACTTATCTCTGAAATTGAGTAACAGGTGTAGTTTTACAGTTACTACGTAGTGTAAACCAGCTATTGAATTTCCCAAATTTGGAAGTCATAACTAGTATAAACAGTGCACCTAGTAGCTTGGCGTTCTAAAAGTAAATAGTTAACAATAACATCTCTAGAATTAGAGCAGAGAGGTTAGGCCTACGGAAACTGAAAATTTACAAAACTAGACCAGTGTTTCAAGTTTCAACATCAAACTGAAGAAAAGCTTAACTACAAAAATTACTTGGCCTAGCAGTGTAAAAAAATTGCAGAACATCTAACCACTATATAGTGGTTCTCCAATTATTAAAATTAAATTACTCCACCTTTAGAATTAGAACTAGAACTTAGATTAGGAGCAACTAGAAAGATTGAATTATGTCTGGGGAAGAGACTAATCCTTTTGCGGTAAGTAGGCTAATATAATAACTTGAATTAAAAAGTATTTAAAATTAATTTGGTAATGAATGTAACATAATAATGTTAATATTAATAATAAAAATAAGGTAATAATTTACTAATATTCAGGGATTCAACCAATATGGTAAAACTAAAAGTCATCACTCACCTACAACTACAAAGTTATTAAAACCAACTGAAGATAAGCGTTTCTTTAAAGGCTGAACAGGTTTTAAATAGAGAACATTTTTCTTGAAATTTGATAACTTGCCAAGTCATACTACAACCTAGACAAACTAAGGAGCAACTTAAGTTCTATTCTTACCTGAAAAGGAACACTACTGTTTACTGCTGAAAAAGAAACAATTTCCTAAACATATCAGTAGCAAATATCCCTACCCTTTCTGTTCAAATACTAATTACTATTCTCAATTTTGTACTCCAGAACTTTAAACCTGCTATACCAGTTACAATAACATATGGACAACAGGTAGTTCTAAATATGACTTCATGGATAGCTACAAATACAAAATTACATAATTTATAATAAGTATAATAAACGAAAACATACAAACTTAATATTTTTGGCAATAATTTTTTTTTCCATTCTATTTCACAGTTTGAAAATATTTTTTGTAAATTAGAAAAAAATCCAACCTTGAGAAAAGTAAAAATGTATATTCACCTTTTGTTTTTAAGGAAAATCTTGATTCCTCTTATAAGTGTGCAAGGTACTGGAATCTGCTGTACTATCAGTGGCACCTCATTTCATGAGCCATTTTCATAAAAAAGAAATATGTTTAAACTGAAACTTGTCTTTTATGTTTCAAATATTAAACTTGTAGCATCTTATTCTGTTATTTTCAGAATACAACACAAAGAAATTGGAGGTTTTTTATCATATTAACTTCCCAGACAATCTTAACACATGAGGGAAAACAAGAGTCACCTTGGTCTATATTGGCTGTCCTATTCATTTCGTTAAGAACTCGTTTGCTTATATCCTGCCTTGACTCTCCAACTACTCATCGAGCCCTCTCTTGAACTTTCCCAATCCATTTTTCCTACCATCTGAAAGCAATCTAGTCCAAAGGCTGACCGACCTGTTTGAAAAATAAAATTGCATAATTAACAGATGACCTCTACCCTCCCAACTTCGATAACATCACTTCTTACCCTTCTTTTCTAAAAACAAAAATTAAGAAGTCTTAACCTGTTCCAATAAGGTAACCCTCTGATCCCTGGAATCATTCTAGTATCAATAAGATAACCCTTCAATCCCTGGAATTATCCTTGTACCAATAAGGTAACCCTTCAATCCCT